AAAGCATGTTGTAATACGCATGAAACAGCCGTTTTCAAATTCGGAATGAGTCTCTAAGCAATTAAGCCTTGCATTAACAAAATGCAGGGGTCCAATCCAATAAAACCTCCCAGGAATCATAGCGCACGAGCTTCAAATCCCCAGGAGAGCAGGCCATCAGTGATAAGCGTAGTGCTGTTAATGAGATACGCAAAACAGAATCACACCATCTCAGACATTAGAAAACATTAAGGCCGAGTATTAAGTACAGAGAGTAGAGAGCATGTTAATGAAGGTGAAGGAGTGGGCCTCACAATAACGACAGATCAAAGCTGTTGTCGGCTAAAAGGGTTTCGTCCACGTGAGCACACATGAACACACAAGGGATCTGTTTTAATCAATTCTCATTACCATACCAGAACCGAAATATCATAAATGCAAAAACGCTAAGCCCTCAGACAAAAGTTCAGCTGATAAAACACAATGGCCTTTGACCCTTGATGGAAAGGTGGGATGTAAGTTGATCTTCTTCCTCTGAGTGACAAGGGAAAGGTACAAATCTGATTGAAATTGAACATGGAATCAGATTCTAGAGAATCCGATAAATGTCTCAGTGCTTGTAATGAAAGTCAGTAGGGTCCAGTTGGGGATTTTGGACTCCTTTGACTTTCACTGCAAAGGCAAGCAGTTAAAACATTTTTCAAAACATCCTCTTTTATGTTCCACAAAGGAAAAAGATATACAGGTTTGGAACGACATACATTTTTACTTTCCATAAGCTCAGCTATGAACACAGTGAGATGCAATATGACACTGATATGCTCAAGTAAAGGTAAATAGCTCAATAATGAATCGTCTCATTCAGAAGATTCACATGGTGTTTCACCCAATGGAACGCAGCCAGCTTTCTGGCCACAATCCAAAGCACTCATGTGCCTCTATCCTGAAATGCCACAGGCATCGAGACTCGTTCTACCGCATGAGCTGTCTGATCCGCAGGAGTCTGGATGCAGCCGGGGGTGATAAGGTCCAAGGTGTGCCATTCAGAGCAGCAGGAGAGAGAAAAAGTAATAGCTCTCATGTTAATGGTTTTGACTCATAGTTATATATAAAATCAACTGTGGGAATTTGAGTTGACTCATTCAACTGAATCAATCAACCTAGGCCCACTGGAAATATGTGTCTCTACTGCACAACTCTACTATTCAATTCACTGCCGTTTAAAGCGAAACAGCAACCATTTTTATTCCTTTTCACCTGGGCAGATTATTGAATAATAAAGAATTATTTTCAGGCAGTTCTTTGCACAATACGATTTTATCATCTCAAAACATATTTACCATAGTGTATGACTTGTAAACTAATAAATTGTGATGTTTGCATCATATAACCATCTACATATGTATGGCTTTTCTGATGTAGTAAACTTGCTCGGATGCTCACCTGGTACAGCATTGCACTTGTGGAGTCCCGTGAAACACAGTAAAAAAAGCTTGAAGTCTTGTAAAAGCAAGCTAAAAAGGCATGGTTGATTCAGCAAATGCATTATTCGCATGTTTGCGTTGACCTTTTAGCAACACTCACAGGCTATTTTCTGCTATGATACGTACAACAACCACTGTAACAAAATGTTGCCAGATTAATATCCATCTGTTTCGAATAAATCTGAACGTGTTTTTAGTGCCACTAATGCCGAGTTCACACTGCACGATTTTCAAAGACGTCGCATCACTGTTGGTTTCACACTGAACGACTATCTGGGGTAGCATTCAGTTGTTGCTGTGTTCACACTGCACGATGGAACGAGACAGGAGGTTACACACTGCATGACTTTACAATAGGAAGAATCGCCGACAGCTCTGTCTGGTGCAGGGTTGCCAGGTTTTCGCTACAAAACCCACCCAATTACTACTCAAAACTAGCCTGAAAATAGCCCAATTGCTTTCGAGGGGGTCCCCCAGTACGAGCACCGATTTGCCTCCGATTTCGGGCATTTGTCGGCGATTTCGCAAAACCTGTCGGCGAGTGAAAAATCGGGCTAAAATCGTGCAGTGTGAACTCGGCATTAGTTTCACGAAATGTTCAAAAAGCAATGTAACATCATTTTGCAGAAATTTCACCACAGGCACGTGTTTCCAATGAGTCCAAGTTGGAATCAATAGCGCTTGTCTCTGAGCTTTATATCAGCAAATACATCTGTTGGACATCAGACTGGTCTATTAAAAGTCATATGACCATGCAAAATTTTATTTTGCTAGATGCTAGATCCAAGTTTCCAACCCAGTTTCTTAAACCGAAATATTCGATAATGAACTGCATGGCAGGTATAGAACAGCAGCACTGTCACGACTAATTAAGATCTGAAAATGTATCTTAAGTAAAGTAAATACCAGTCGAGCACTTGAACTATTCATGTATAAAACCTTCTTTATACCAACTAGAAGGGGAAAAAATAACCAATACCCTCAGGAAAAAAAAAAGAAGGCCACAGGTTAGACTAATCAACAGACTTCCTCAGACAACCCGCAAACAAGAGAGATGCAAATTCAGGCTTCTCTCTAAGTCAGTAGCAAAGAGATGGTGAGAGGGAGAGTGAAAGAACGAGAGCAAAACAGAGCCTCCGAGCACAGCTGAATTGAACATAAAAAGTGTGTTTTCTCATGCTAATTTCCCTGCCAGAGTGCCGGGGAGGGAAACAAAAGCAGACGAGAAACCGTCACTAAATTCAGTAAGAACGTGCACAAAGGACGAGCTAATGAGGGGGACCTTAGCGCTAACTAGAAAAACAAGAGGGCAACAGAAGGCACTTATTAAAAATGAAAAGATCTTTATATAGTGTAAAAGGTTGTCACAGATATCTATGCTTTAAATTTATAGTTAAACAACCCTAGATCACAGGTTCTTAACTGGTTTGGAGATCCAGATTTTTAAGTGGCCCAACAATGCATCAAAATTGTTTCCTGTGTATGTAATAATGTCTATTAATATCACCATTAACTGTCTAAGCCTAATAATAAGCAAAAATATTCACATATTAGGGTTTCAAATGTCTATTTTGATGGTTTCATGCTGTTGCCAATAATTCAGATGTTTCTCATCCGTCTAATTTGGCTAGCACCAAGTGACAATTTATTTATGTTTCTATCCAAACTATGCTCAATTATATATAATTAAGTTACAGCATATAATTAATTTATTTATCAGAACATATTAGCGACCCATTTTTTGGTCTTTAACCAGCTAATCAAGAATCACTGTTATAGATTACCACATTTCAAGTTTTGAGCTTGTGTGAATGAAGCTTTTTTTTTTAGTGACTTTAAACATGTTTCTGCAACATCTTGGTCTTTATTATCTCCAGAGGGGTGTAAATATCCAAGCACTGCAGTAATGTCTTCCAAAAACAGAAAATGTACTGAAGAAGTCAGTCATTTGGACCCTGAATGGAAAACCAATGTAGTCGTTAACATTAAATGTGTGCCGAGTTTGGCCAGAAGACAGATATCAAGCATATGTCGATATGGGACGTGTCTACCATCCTTAATGTAGAAAATGCTTACAAGACAAAAACTCCAGTACAAGAAGTTAATGAACAGTTCGTTGAAATGAACACAGATGTGCATCTGCTCACAACACACACATTCACAGAACCATATTGTACAATCACCTCAGGGATACCACCAGCTGGCGGTTAGAGGAAGTGCACACCTCTGTAACAACTGCGATTTACACCAGCACAAATGATAACCCAATGTAAAGCTCAAAGATTTACTTAAATGTAATGGAACTTAAATTATTGAGATGTGCTAATATCAATGAAGCACCACAACTCCCACTGTCAAAGCCCTGAAAAGTGTACAGCCAAGAGCCAAAGACATCATGTCTAAATGCTCTGCACAAAATCCTATCTGATAGATTCCACCTAAATGTGTATTAAACCCACAATTGAACCTTCCTTCTGACAACAGCACAATGGGTGGCTTAATCCTAATCTCGTAACAATGCGAAGTAACCCCATTTTAATCCAGTGAGGTTAATTTATTGTCTGATTTTTGAAGGCTCAGAGTGAAATGAGTCAGTGTGGACTGTTTTCAACTGACATCCTGCATCTTTGAACATATAGTCTGAAAATGCCTGATATCTATCCGTTTAAGAAGACAACACAGCATTTTAAATCACAAATGTCTATAAATATCACTGGTTCACTTGAAAATTGAAGTAACCTATTTCTTATTCACTTCCCTCACTCACAAAGCAACTCGTCTCATAGCAGTTTCAAAGAAGTTAGATCGCTCTCAAGGGTCAAAGTATGTGATATATAGCCTAGGTCTGGATGGGTTAGACTACTAGTCTCTGTGGGAGCAGCTCTCTGATCTCTCCTAATTAATTGTTTAATTAAGCAAATGAGTGTCTCACATCCATTTGTCATTGCTCACGGCATTGCCTGTCCAAACCATCCCTGGCAATGTTAAACACATCAAACCACAACATATAGTAAATGCAGCTTGATTTAATCTGAGCTGTTTTATAGGTACGGACAGTTTTCTGTTAAACATTACTGTGTATATCCATTTATATAAACCATACGGCTGCATCACCTGTGACAACCGCTCAGGATGGTTTTTCAAAACAAATTATACGTTCTGAGTCCTAAAAATGAACTTTTGGGCGACATTAAATTATATTTGGGTCATAAACACATCCTAGTTGTTAATCCTTCCAACTCCGCAATGTGAAGTCAAATTATTGGATCATTCATTAAACGCTGCTCCGCTAGCATTCTTGTTTTTGTTACTCAGAAGAGATCGTGAGAATCCTACATTTTAACGACTGCTTATATTCATGTTTTCTAACTCCAAGGCATATCCTATCTTTTAAGCATCCAATTTTAATACGATTGTCCCGAGAGAGAAACGAATATACATGAATTCGCTTTGATTCACTAATGATTCATTGCCAAAGTACAACGAAATCCAAGAACATCCAAAGCGCACAAACATGACAGCGATTCTGTGCCTTACCTTCATTATCCGGATAATTCCTCAAGGCTTGACAAAACACCAATATATGAAAAGGAGCAAGGAAAGAGTAAATGCTAAACAGAGCCATTTTCAGGCGGCTCCACGCGCCCGCATCCCTGTGCGTAAACTTGGGCTGGTGAGCCGGTGGCTGCGCTGGAGAACTGAACTGAGCTGAGCTGGAGAGGAAACAGCGCGCCTGCTTCAAGGAGGATCCGACACTGGCGTGAGCAGCACTCTCTGACCACAGCGAGCTGGATGAAGGGGGCGGCACGCGTGAGTGCGTTTGCAGGAGAACTTATTTAGTTGTAAAAAGTGATAGTTACTGTCGGCATTCAGTTTAGACAGATAGATAGATAGATAGATAGATAGCTCTAATTATGCTGTTCCATAAGCGCCACCTAGTGTCAGAGAGTGGATTTACAGAGAGTTACGGTTACAGTGCTGCTTGAAAGTTTGTGAACCCTTTAGAATTGTCTATATTTCTGCATAAATATAACCCTAAAAATCATCAGATTTTCATACAAGTCCTGAAAGTTGACAAAGAGAACCCAGTCAAACAAATGAGATGAAGATATATACTTTGTCGTATTTAAAGAACAGGGATCTATCAAAGTTTGGTCATGTTTGTGGGAGTGTATCATGGCACGAACAAATGAGATCTCTGAAGACCTCAGAAACATAGTTTGTGTTGCTCATTAGGCTAGAAAAGGTTACAAAGCCATCTCTAAGGAGTTTGGACTCCACCAATCCACAGTCAGACAGATTGTGTACAAATGGAGGAAATTCAAGACCACTGTTACCCTCGCCAGGAGTGATAGATAGATAGATAGATAGATTGATTGATTGATTGATTGATAGACTTACATCACCGATTGTCATTGGAAATTACTTATGGACATCTAGATCAGAGGGTCAAAATCACTTTACTGCCCTGCTGTGGCAACGTGCCACCACGTTCACCTGACCGTGTAAGTCATATCACAGGCATGGGGACGCAAAGTGAACTAACACAACAGAGCCCATTAGACCAAAACCTCAATGTTTGGTATTTAAAGATGAAGGTCAAATCAATACTCTTACTGCTCTTGGAAAAAGGCCACCATTTTCCCCCCTCTGCCAGCTGGTTCCTCCCACACAGGAGCCCTCATAAGCTCTGTCACCTACCAAAAAACATGACATCACATTTCATGTGGCTGAATGTGATGGCAGGGAGTGTAAATGAGATGTCTCTACTGTGTAAGCCCTCTCCAACAATGGCTGACAGACAATCAGGCACACTGCCCGGGGTGTGTGGAGGAGTGCCGGGGGTGTTTATGATGGCTCAGACAAGCCCTTACACACCAGAGCTGAAAAATAAATGTAGTGAGTTTTCTTAGTGCCACTGTCTTTTTATCTGCATTTCTCTGTCTTTCTCTTGCTGTCTATCACACTATTGGTGACAGGCAGGACAGTCTGGAAAAAACATGTGAATGAAGCAACCAAGAAGCTACAGTTTAAAGTTTCCACAAAAACAAACCTTCCTTGCATGCTTTTTTCTTTTACATGTAAATTAAAGGAATAGTTAATTTATTCACCCTCATGTTGTTTCAGACATATATGACTCTCTTTCTTTTGTGTAAAACAAAAAAGATATTTTAAGCTAGTCACTCTGTTGAATGCATTTACAATAAATGGGGAATAAAGCTTGTAATCCTCGTAAAGCATGTAAAACCACCATGAAAATGTAATAAAAGTGTTCCAAACAACCTGAGCGCTAAGTATTCTGGTGCCACATACAGTGGTGTTATATGAGAAAAAGACCAAATTATTCACTCATAATTTTCCTTTTCCATGTATTCAAGAACCACTGTGACTGGATCGAATCAATGAGTTGAACACAAGAACCACTCGAGATTCACAACAACAGTTCATTCACAAATTAAACATTGCAGTTTTTGTCAAAAATAGACTTACATTTCACATATAGTACTTTTATGATAATTGTATAAATGTTTTATATACCTTTAGGCTTGAAAGCATCAAAACAATACATAAAGGTGAGTAAATGATGACAGAATTTTACTTTTTTAATGTAAACTATTTATTGACTTATAGATTCCTTTTTGAAACTCTTTAAATGTTGTATCTCCCTACTGTAAAATTATTAAGGTTTTCATTTTCCATGAACCACTGTAACTAGATTGAGTCAATGAGTTGAACCTGAAAAATAAATGAGTCAGATTTGTGAACGAATCATTCATACTGTTTTTAACTCTATTAAAAGATCGATTGATGAGATTTGACAAATCAAACATTGCGATTTCTATTATGAATTGACCTAGGCCACATTTCGTATGGATCATTTTATGATACTTTTATGGTGGTTTTGCTTAATTTTTCAGCGAGTTTAAAAAAAACATTAAGGTGAATAAATTATGACAGAATTTTCTTTTTTGCATTAACTATCTCTTTAAAGTATTGTATATCCCTAATCTAAAATTCATACGAGTTTCATTTTCAAGTATTCAAGAACCACTGTGACTGGAAGTCAGCAAGTTGAACCCAAGAAACAAATAAGTCAGATTAGTGAACGAATCTTTCATACTGATTTTTGAACCACCTTCAAAATATTCATTGCCAGTGTCTGACTTATAAGACTGTTCTTTAACAAATAAAACATTGCAATTCCTGTCATATATTAACCAGAAAACAGGGACATATTGAGGTTTTGCAAAAGCTCCAAAACAACATAAAGGTGAATAAATGATGACAGATTTTTTATTTTCTTCTTTCATTTCTCTTTAAATGTCATATCTCTTTACTTTAAAATAACTAAGGGCCTTCTAAATTTTAAAAATTACCCCCCTGCATGCATCAGTGACCTGTCAGATGAACCTTCCTGTTTGGGAAAGATGTGGTCACGACGTGTCTTCCACAATGTCTCCCGCTGCACCACATCCCAACTTAAACCTGTTTCATTATTTAGCCCAGAGGAGTGAGAATCTGTAGCCATCAGCCTGAGAATCCAAAAGCTGTGGCAGATCCGAGATCTTCATGCCCGCTCTTATTAATGAAGTGGGAGGGACTTTGACAGGTGTAACAGGGCTGACAAATACATATCAACCTTCAACCTAAGACCTCCTGTTAGTTAGCGCAGATAGCTCGAGCCTAATGAGGCTTGCTGGCAAGCTCCAGAGGCCAGACAGAGCACGAATGATCATGTCAGCTGCAGCCGAGAGCCACATGCTTTCATATTTGTCTATCATGGATGTGTAACCATGGTGGATGGGCATAGGAAGGGGGGTTTGCACTGGAGCTCTTGAACTTTGAGAAGGGGCCCCTCTGGATCTCCAGAACCCTGCTGCTGCTGCATATGGGAAGAGCATTTAATATGGAGAAAAATACCACTGAATGGGTTTTAGTGGCCTAATTGTGATGAATGCATTCTTAGAAAAAACCTTTATCCTTCTCTAGGCACCCCATACTTGGACTATGAGCTGGTTTCACTGAAGCTTTTAATGTTAGTGAGACAATAAATATCTCAAAGAGATTGTCTTAATAATTAATTATCTTAATAAATAATAAATTACATATACACTTTATTAAATGTATAATTTTTTACATATATACTAGGCAGATTATTTACCAATTGTAATCTGTTACTGATTCCAAATTACATGACAAAAATTGTAGTTAGTAATGTAATCCCTTACATTACACATTTTAGGTCATATAATCAGAGTACTTTTGGATTACTTTTGAACTAACTTGTTTATCACATTGATTTGATTCATATAGTAACTGATTACATGTAATCTGGACTACATAATTAGATTATATTATAAATGTACATTTAAGTCCACTTCCACATTACATTCATGAACTTATTCTTTGAACTTGGTAACTCCTAGACTGAACTTCCCAGACTGCTGTGACTCTCTTGTGTGGTGCCCACAGAACAGAGCCTTCTGGGACAGGTTAAATGAGGGACGTGCCACTCCACACAGATCTGCTTCTTTGGGCCCCATATACTGACCCCAGGGCTCCGTCTACTGAAAGAGAGCCTTGCCCTGTCTGCCATGGAGTGGGGGCCGGGTCTTAGATCCCTCCAGCCCCTCTGGAGAGCAAGCATTGTGCACTTGCCTCTTCCCACACTCCTGCTCACCTCTGATGGGTGGAGCCTGGACCCCCGTCAATCAGGCAGCATGCGGTCCCTGATGCACCGCAAGCCAGCACAAAAGAGCTTTTTTTTGTTTTCGTTTGGTTTTGTGCAGCTCTACAAAAGTGTCTGGTGCAGAGAAAGAGAAAGGGCTGCTTGCATGTCTGCTGCAGGTTTCTGGAAGTTGCTAAGGTTTCTCTTATGTGGTAAGGTTACATTGAACATGCGCTAAGCTACTTCTAGTAAAATAAAATAAAAACTCTTGTTGACAGTCAGTTTAGAGTCTTTTGCAACAGAAAACCTGGCCAAAACACATTGAGAGTTCAGTGAATGCAGGCAATGAAAGGCCACATGCCTGAGTAAAGTTCAGTGCTCTGTTTATTTAAGTCCTTGGCACTATCTGAAGGATCGTAGATGTTGTATAGCTGTGTGAATGAGTGGCTTACTCTGTCACACTGTGACAATCTGAATAGTAAAGTAACAGGAAATGAAAGTGCAACCTAATGATGAAGGATTTTTTATTGTGGCTCCTAAATAGGTCCAATCTTCAAAGCTACACTAGCCCAGAAGTTAACTTTAATGTTTTTATTCATTCTCTAAAGATATTATGAATTGTGTTTGCTTGCTCAAAAGCCATCTTCATGATGCTTAGGTGTTGTGTGTTATTGGCAGAGTGTTGCAATGTGGTCGCTAAGGTATTTAGAATAGTTTAAGCATGTTTCCATGTGGTTGTTAGGGTGTTTTGTGGGGTTGCTAGGTCCTAGGTGAAGTTTCAATTATTTTTATATGATATCATGTTTTAATAAGAGTTAAACAATACAGACCAGGAATGATTGAAAAATTGAATTGATTGAATAATTAAATTAATAATTAAATTAAAAACAACAACAACACTTAAACCAGTATATACTGTGTTTGTATGTAACGGGTCATAATGGAACAGTTTTAAAAAGTGATTTTTCATTATTATTTACTACAGGATCTGCATTTTCATGGGTCTAAATAAAAGATTTTTGTTAGAAGAGGCAATAAAAAACAACTTTGTGCATCAAAAT